TATCTCCCACCGCCCCGCTTCCTCTCCCCACTCTCCTCCAACCCAACCCCCAAGTGCTCCTGTCGCCACTGCTCCCCAGATCTCTGTCCTAAGTCTACTCCATCCCGGCCTTCACCCGGGCCCGGTCTCCATCTTTCGGCCTGAGGCTCCCTCCCCCTGACAGCTCCTCCCTGGGCGCTCGCCGTAATATCTCTTCAGCCAGATGGTTCTTCCAACCCGCAGGGACTCGAGAGTCTGCACTCCTCTGGCCCCGAAGGTTCCTGAGTGCCCGGCGAGGGTGGGGTGGTGGGGATGGAAGGAGGGGAGCGGCCCTGGCCCTTGCCCCTTAGCGCACGCCGCCCCACCTCCCTCCCCTCCGCGTGCCACCGCCCCCTTTCAGCCCCTTCCTCCCTGGCTCCTGCCTTCTCTCTCATTCTAGCCTCTAGCGTCCCTGCCCCCCAGAGTAAACAGACACACACCCTCTTTCTGTCTGTGCAAGGAAGAGGAGCCTGGAACGGCCTGGAACAGGGGTGCCGATGAGGTTGGGCAGCGCGGGTCTGGGTTCCCCACCCCATTTAGAGCATTGAGAGGTGGCTGAAGGAGGGTAATCACAGAGCAGAGCAGACTCTGGTACCTCCACTGGGACAAGTCCCGGGGCTCCCTGGGCTAGATGTCATGCCTTCTCTGTCCTCTGCATCGCAGTCCCCAGCCCCACTGCATCCCACAGTACCTCCTTTCTTCCTGCTCACAGGACCCACAGTAACCACTTTAGGCTCCTATGAGGTATCTGAGGGTTGTGAGAGGAAGAAAGGCCAACGCTGGGGGTCCCTGGAACGTCGTGGGATGCAAGCCATGGAAGGTGAGTCTTCCCAAAAGGCTTTCTGTCCCTTTACCCTCCTCCCCCAGTTCCTATCCCTCCCTCTTCCTCCCTCTGACCCTAGAGCTCTGAGCCGGGACACAGCCCTTCCCTCAGCTCACCTCTGGCCCCTCCTCATTCGCTGCTGAGCTCCAGTCCTCCCCAGGGTTCAGGCTTTGATGGAAGTTCAGGATACATCCCTTTGGGGCCCTAATCGCCCAGCTAACCAGGTTGTATGTCCTGGGGGAGCTGCCAGATAGAGAAAGAGGCCTCGTTGGACAGAGCTTTGAAGCAGGCTTTCGGCAGGGGGTTTGTTCTCACTGCCTGACGACCCAGATCCCAAGCTGTCTCTTATTTTAAAAAGCAAGGACATGAGCATGTGAATTGTCTTTCTGGGGCCACCACCATTAACTTCTAATGGAAGTCTTGTGTTTGGTTCTCTATAGAATATCTTCCTTCCTGAAACACAGAGCCTAAAGGGTGAGGCCAACTTCTCAACATGCATGCATCCCCACCACACCCTTCTGACTTGGCAGTTGCTGCCAACACATTTCTCAGGACTTCCTATGAAGTGTCCCCAATAAGCCTCTCTACTTATTCAATGTGGACAGCTCTGCTCCCTCTGAGGGGGTCAGATGACACAAGTGTCCCAGATGAAGCTTAGGCAGCTGATATTAGAGAAAGTAAGACAAAAGATTCAGAATTTCAAAGCAAAGCAGACATTTCCCACACAGACAAGATTTGCTATATACAGGAACTGCATTGCAGTAAAGGAGGGGGTGCTCACCAATCAGAGGCTGGGGACCAGCACCAAACCCCAGTTTTTTTATGCATTAAGATGCCAGACTTTCTTTTAAATGGAAGTACATAAGAGTTTCCTTGAAAACCTCCTGGGTCAGTAGGGGAGCGGGAACCTCATGACACCCAGCAGGAAAAAGCCACATGGACCTTTTAGAAAATTCCAAAAATATATTTGTTAACATACATTTGAAAGAGCCCCAATATTTTTGCAAAAAGAGACTTGGAATTGTTTCATTCCAATGTTTTCTTTCTCTACCCACCAACAGTCAATGCTTTCTTATTATGGAAGGGCTAATGTCTTACAAGCCATCTGGGTAATTTTTTAACCTTCTACAAACCCTCAAACTAACTCATCAGCCTGATGGTTTGGCAGTGTCAGAATCCTTCTTGACTACTTGGCCCACTTCCAGACCACCAAGCTAGAAGAACCAGGCATTCCTATGCAAACTTTGTAAGAATAACCAAACATTCCTATGTCCTTTGTTCACATGGTCAAAGTTCACCCAACAGTAGGCTGCTCCATTAGCTTAATGGCAGTGGAAGGGGGCCACCAAGTGTGATCTTGGACCAGAAAAGACTTTAGAGAGGATGCTTCCAAACTTGGCCCTTACACCTGAGGACTCATCATGAATATGGTGAGGTCCTGTCCAGGGGCTCCTTAGGGGATACCAGATGAAATTATTCTACCATCTTGGTCCTGGGTGGAGGGTTTTGGAGGGCCCTGGAAAGACTGTGGATAGGAAGTTCCACTGACTCCCTGGTGGGATGTCTCTCCTAGGGGAGGTATTACTCCCAGCTCTCTATGAGGAGGAAGAGGAAGAAGAAGAGGAGGAAGAGGTAGAAGAAGAAGAACAAGTACAGAAAAGTGGCAGTGTGGGCTCCCTGTCACTGGGCAAGCACCGGGGCCTAAGCCTCACAGAAACAGAGCTGGAGGAGCTGAGGGCACAGGTGCTCCAGCTGGTGGCAGAGCTCGAGGAGACCCGTGAGCTGGCAGGGCAGCATGAGGATGACTCCCTGGAGCTGCAAGGTGAGCCCTTGTGATGCAGGGCGGAGCAGGGATGGTTGGACCCAAAGGCTCTGTGCTTCCCAGCTGACACCCCCTTTCACTGCAGGGCTCCTGGAGGATGAACGGCTGGCCAGTGCCCAGCAGGCAGAAGTGTTCACCAAGCAGATCCAGCAGCTCCAAGGTAACACCCTGATTGTGACAGTGGAGAGGTGACCATCTAAGTTGCTACCCAATTACCTTTATCCTAGGGGCTTGCTGAAGCATAGAAGACAAGAATAACCTAAAGCAATACTTTCAATTCATTTTTCTTTCAATTCATTTCATTGTCTCTCCATTCTTCTCTTTCCTGAATTTTTTTCTTTGTATCTCTTCCTGGCTCTTCTGTTCTCCTTCTTCCTTCTTCTCCTTCTCCTTTTCCTTCTTCTTTGTACAGGGAATTGAACCCAGTGGCATTTAACCTCTGAGCCACATCCCAGCCCCTTTCTTTTTAAAAATATTTTTTTTAGTTGTAGATGGACATAATACATTTATTTATTTATTTATTTTTATGTGTTGTTGAGGATCACACTCAGAGCCTCATATGTACTACTGCTGAGCCACAACCACAGTCCCCCTAGCCTCTTTCTTATAGAGACAGGGTCTCACTTAGGGCCTTGCTAAATTGCTGAAGCTGGCTTTGAACTCATTATCTTCTTGTCTCAGCTTCCTGAGCTGCTGGGATTATAGCATGAGGCTCAGCACCTGGCTCTTCCCTTTCTTGCCCTCCAACCTCATATATTTTTTCAGGTTCACTCCTTTCTCTTCTCAGCCTTCTCCCTCACATCATATCCCTTGTCCTTTGTTCACCTGGTCAGTGCCAGGGGTGAGTGATCAAGGCTGAATTCCAAACCAAATGCCTTTTTCTGGTCCCTCCAGGGACACCATGGAAGGAGTAGGGAACCAATAAGAAGTGGCCTGACAGTGTACCATGCATCTTTAAGGGAAACAAATGAGAGTGTTTTTCTGGCTCCTTAGGACCTGAGCTTGTAGCTCCCACAAACCTCTCTTCCAACACCCACGTCCCTTTGTCTCTGGAAAAGCAGCAAGGCAGGAGTCCCATATTCCACTGCAGTACCCAATAAAGAGGCAGTTTTGGTAACTTTTTTGGTCTTCCAGAAGGTTTTGGGGGAGCTGCCCTAGAAAACAGTAGGGACTCTCTGGGGAGAACTGAGATCAAGCCAAATGAAAGTATAAATGAAGAAAAAAGGAAGTCCAGAAAGCTGGCCTAGAGAGAAGCAAGCAAAGCTATAAGAGAAGCTGGGTGTGGTGGTGCATACCTATAATCCCAGTGATTTGGGAGACTAAGGCAGGAGGATCACAAGTTCAAGGCCAGCCTTAGCAACTTGGACCCTTGGCAACTTAGTGAGACCCTGTCTCTAATTTTTTTAAAAAAATTAAAAAGGTATAGAAGAGGGAAAGAGAAGGAGACAGAAGATATAAGCAAAGGGAGATGCAGGAAATGTGGCAACAAAGAGAAGAAAAATGGCAGATGTGTCCCACAGGTGGTCTTGGTTCCCCTTTGGGTCCAGCTCTCTCACAAATTTTGTGATCTGGGGAAGGTCACTGAGATTCAGTTTCTTATCTGTAAAATGGCACTGATTAATTTGCTTATCAACTATTTATTGACAGCTTTTATATTTGAAAGGCCAGCTATGAACAGGACAGACAAAATCTCTATTGAAGAGTAAGTTCTAATGGAGAAAGGAAGAAAACATAAGTACGGGAGTCAATAAATGTTATGAACATAACAATATGATACACAGAGAAGGGATAAGATAGGAGTTTATTTTAGCTAGGGTGGTTTGAAAAGTCCTTTTTGAAAAGGTGACATTTGAGCTGAATCATGAGTAGGATCCAGCCTTTCAAGATCTGAGGGAAAGGCACACCAGGCAGAAGGAACAGCAACTGCAAAGGATCAGAGGTGAGAATAAGTTTCATGTGTTTGAGAGATAGAACAAAGGACCTGGTGGCTTGAGTGAAGTATATGTGGGGGATCTTGGTAAGGTTAAATTCTGGTTAGCAGGTGGAGGCCAGATTACAGGGAGTCTTGTAGACTAGCAGAGAGGTCTGGCTTTCATTTTAAGTGTACTAGAAAGCCATGGGAAAGTGTTAGACAGGGTTGGGGTGATATAATCTTCTGTACATTTTTTAAAGAGCACTTGGCCACTGATGGAAACTGGATAGAAAGAAAGGGTGTTGAAACAGTGAGTCTGATCAGGAAGTTATTGCAGTTGCCCAACTAGAGGTGATGGTTGCTTGGATTAGGGCTTCAGAAATATATTTTGAAGGTGAAGTCCTTAGGACTTGCTGATGAATTGGATGGAGGATAATAAACATGAAAGATGAGTTTACCTAGAGAAACTGGTTGAGTGGTGGCATCATTTATTGGGACAAGAAAAACTTGGCAAGGAACAAATTTGGGGAATAGGGGAACCATTTAGGTTTTCTACCTGATGAGTTTGAAATGGCTATAGATATTCAAATAAGTATGTTAAGGAGGCCACTAGATATACGAATCCAAGACCAGAAGAGAAATTGGGGCTGAAGATAGAGATTTGGTACTTATCAGTATAGCATATACAATATAATCCATACAGTCACATGGAGATAACCATAAGTCACATGGAGAAATACCAGAGGAGGAGAGAGAAGGGTCCAATTTGCAGACACTCCAGTATTTAGGACTCCTATTGAAGGAGAAATGAACAAGAGACTGTGGCAGGAGATTCCTGAAACACTGTCATGCCCTGGAAGCCAAGAGCAGAAAATGCTTCAAAGAGAGAATGATCCACTGGGTCAAAAGTTGCTAAGGCAAGTGAGATGACCCTTGGAGTTAGGGAGATGGAGAATCTGAAACATTTCAGTGCAGATCAGTGCTGACTGGATTGGAGTTGAAGAGGAAATAGGAGGTCAGGTAGAAAAAGTGAGTACAGATCACTTTGTTGGGCATTTTGAAGAGAATCAAGGCAAGGAGAAATGGGGTCAAAGGAGAGTTGTTTTGTTTTTATAAGGTAGGAAATGCTAGATCATTTTTTTTTTTTGAAGGAAAAGATCCTCTAGATCCAAAAAAAGTAGTAGCCATAGCTTGTAGAAATGGAGCGTTCTTTCTTTCCAACAGACGAGAAGTTAAGAGAAGCTGAACTACCAGGGAAAACAGTACTCTAGACAGTTTCGGTCCTTACCAGGATTGTTCCCAGGATTTACAGGATCACCAAGATCTCGACCAAGGAAGGGTCCCAGCCTGGATGGCCGCCCCGCGCCCC